GCTGTTCCGTTCAATAAGGAATGGGCAGGATTATCACGTAATGTCTGAGTAGGAATTCATGCAGTTTTGAATATTTATGTTAAAATAGGAAGTACTGCAAAATGAGGTTAAGTGTTGTCGAATGTTCCCGAAATTAACACCGTTGAATGGAATGTCTCCACTGTTGATTATAATTCAGCTTGTTTCACTTTGATATTATTATTATTATTTATCCCTTGGGTTCCTAATGGAACATAAGGCTTCAGTAGCATGTCTCCAGTGCACTCTGTTATCTGCAATCTTTTGAACCTGTCTCCACGACTGCCCATAAGCTCTCATTTCTTCCTCGCACGATCTCCTTCATGTCACACTCGGACGCCCAACTCGTAGCTACCCATCTGGGTTCCATTCGAGGGCCTGGCGCGTGATGTCCCCAGTCGGCCTTCTCAGTGTATGCCCAATCCACCTCCACTTTCTTCCGCATATTTGTTGGGCGATAGATTATTAGTTGGTTCGTTGCCGGACCAGAGTTCCTCGTTGCTGGTTTTTTCTGGCCATCTGATCTTCAGTAACGATCGTAGGCAGCTGTTGATGAATGTCTGTAGTTTGTTGGAGATGCGTTTCGTAACGCGCCAAGTCTCCGAGCCATATAGAAGCACTGACTTGACGTTGGTGTTGAAAATCCGGATCTTGTTCCACATGCTGAGTGTAGATCTCCACACTGGTTTCAGGCTAACAAACGCCTGTCTTGCTTTTCCAATCCTGACTTTGACGTCCTCGTCTGTGCCGCCTGTAGTTGAAACGATGCTGCCTGGGTAGGTAAAAGAGACTACTTCCTTTAGATTTCTCCCGTTGGTTTTGATTGGTGCTTGTTGTTGTTGGTGGTGTTGGTTGGGTATCTTCATCACCTCTGTCTTCTCTACATTCACTTCAAGTCCCGTTTTCGCTGTCCTGCCTCTTCTGTCAACTTGTTAGTTTTTGCCTGTAGATCTTCGAGTTTGTGTGACACTAGACATAAGTCATCAGTGAAATCCAAATCTTCTAGGGTCTTTTCTTTGGTCCAGCCAGCGCATGCCCCTCTTCTCGCTCCTCACTGTTTGTTGCATGATCCAGTCCACTAGAATCAGGAATATCATGGGTGATAGTAGACAGTCTTGTTTCACTCCTGTCTTCACTTCAAAGGTGTTGCTGAGCTTTCCATTGTGAATTACTTGGCATGAGGCGTCTACATATAGTTGTTGAATGAGGTTGATAAAGGTTTGTGGCACTAAAGCCGTAGTGTTGAAGCAGTTTCCAAATTGCCTCTCAGTCGACGCTGTCAAAGGCCTTCTTAAAGTCGATGAAGTTGGGGTAGAGGGTTGACTGCCATTCTACACTCTGTTCTATGATGATGCGTAGAGTGGCGTTGCAATTTGGTCAGCACATGATTTGTACTTCCTGAATTCAGCCAGACTGTTCCGGTCGTAGTTTTGAATCCAGCGCATCCTTTAGTCTCTCCAGGATGATGCGGCTTAATATTTTGCTTGGGATGGACAGGGGTAGAGCATGATTCCACGCCAGTTCTTGCAGACACTTAGGTCTCCCTTCTTCGGGAGTTTGACAAGATAACCCTTCTTCCAGTCAATCTGCAGGTACCTTCACTTTCTTCCAGACCTTCTGCAATAGTGGTGTGAGCATGTCCGCTGTTGTCTCTGCGTCTGTTCTCAGTGCTTCTGACGGGATTCCATCTGGTCCTGCTGCTTTCCCGCATTTCAGTAGCTTTATGGCGCTCAGGACTCCGACTTTTTTTGGAAGATTTGTGTTAATTTGTAGTTCTGTGGCTGGGCTGCAGGTGGTAGTTCTGGACGAAGTACAGGTGGTGGTGGCGGTGGTGGTCGATTCAAGAGCTTTTTGAAGTGGTCAACCCATTGTTTCCTTTGTTTCTCTTCGGTAATTAGATTGTACTCAGTTCCTCTTCTCGTTGTTGATCCATGCACCGGTTTATCTTCTTCTGAACCATCCTCCTCTCTCTCCTCTGTCAGCTTCCATGTGTCCGTCGAGATCCATTCCTTATCTTCTTTCTTCTTCCTTCCTAACACGGTTATGCAGGTTTCTTTCCACATAGCTTTCAAAGAGTTCCAGTGCTCATCCACACATGTTTCTTCAGGGATGTTGCTCGATATCCCCCATTTCGTCTTGGTGGCTGACGTGAAGATTTTTTTTTGTAGTTTCATCCTTCAGTTTCTGTTCTGGGTGCTGAACCTGAACTATGGTCTATCACCAACTTCCTTGAAGGCCTCCAACTTGATTTCGAAGGTTCCCTGCACCAGATAGTGAGTTGTGTGAACCTACATCTGCTCCCCTTCTTGACCTTATGTCCAGTGGACTGTGTCTCCAATTTCTTCACATTGAAATAAAGTCGATGTGATTTTTAGTGTGTCCATGTGGTGAAGTTTATGTCACTCGCTTAGTGAATATCCTTGTTTGTACACACTGCTTTCAATCACCAAATCGTTGAATGCGCAGATATCTGCAAAGAGTTCTCCATTCTCATTCACTTCACTGATTGCTTCTCGACCCATGATTATTTCTCTTCCCGTGTCGTCTGCTCCCACTTTGGCATTCATATCATGCATTAGAATTTTGATATCGCCACCTTGGGTGGAGTCTTTTCCATTACTGATTGCAGTTGTCTGTAGAATTCCTCCTCCTTCTCTTGATCTCCATTATTTGTAGGTGTATAGCGTAGCACCGTATGATTGTGACCTTCCTTCCTTTTGAGTTGAACCTTGCTGTCATGATCCTGGAGGAGATTGGTTCCCACTGCATGAGAGCCTTCGACAATATCGGAGTAGATTGTTGAATCCTCTTCAGTTAACAGTTTGGAGAGTCCACTCCCATTCCATCTGCTTTCGCAAATTCCTAACACTTCAATGCGATACCTTCTCATCTTGTTTGCAATCTGGGCTGCCTTGCTAGGTTCAAACGTGGTGCGGACATTCCACGTCCCCACGTTTACTTTCACTTTCATCGAGAGAAGACACATTGGCCAACTGGCCTCCGGAATGCTTTCACTAACCGGCGTCCTTTCGCCTCTCCGATTCCAGAGAGGAATAAGTTTAATTTTATTTTTTATATTTACTTTGTTCTTTGAAGTTTCTTTAGCGGTTGGATTGGTTTTACGGAGTAGGGTTGCTAGCCCTATGCCCAACCTTCCCTCTTTACCCGGGCTTAGGACCGGCTAGTAACTATTGAAATAGTTAACCAGTCGAGGAATCAGTAATTACGGGAAGTCATTTCGTTGCGAAACGTGCCAATTCCTTAGTGGTTCTGGTCAGATGAAGTCACCTGAGACCGTAAGATTGAAGAAAAGTAGCTGGAAATACAAACGACTTACAGCTTCTTAAAGCCGGGTTTAGAGTACTCTTGGTCGTTGTTCTGTGGTTTATGAAACTAAATACTTACCCAATTACAAGTTTATTTAAGCTATATTGTATCGTAGAATCAACAAATTAAGGTTGGTCAACCAATGTTAGTAAAAACAGCAGTCCATCTATGATATCCTAGCCAAACTGTTAATCTCTCTCCTAGCATCCGAGTTGTTCTTCACTTTTGAATATCCTCTTCTACCTGGTTGTGACATTAGATTATGCTCAGTAGTCTCCTACTTATTGTTATAGCTAGTAAAAGTGAAAGTGCTTGAATTTTCAACATTTATCGGTGCCATTTTTTGCCGGATCTAACAGTTAATTCAGATGCATCAAGCTATTTTGCTCGAATTCTGTTGATTCGATTGTATGAAATGAATAGTATAACCTCAGCTTCGGAGGTAACAACCAACCAACTTGGAGGTGGAGAATGTTTCCATTAGATAGGGAGAAATTCGGATAACAGCTATAGGATTAGCCAAAACTCCTCAGTGGACCTTAGAATTTCTTTGCTTTGCTGTTTCCTTTCACTATATCTTAACTGTGCTCCACCTACTCTGGTCTCGGCAACCAGGAAGTGTCACAAGTGTTTACACAACGGCTGTGGCTCTATAGCTTGGTACATAAACACCAAATAGGTTGAGCTGCATTATTATCATTAATAGCATTATCATCATTATTGTTATGACTCGTTTTCTATTTCGTGATGAAACGCTGAAATCAGGACTAGAAGCCAAATAATTTACTAGTTGATGAATTAGTGCCTAACCAATGTTCTTCTGAAAGCAAATGTAAATGACGTTTATTAAAGGCTTATCTCATACATTACTGCTCTCGACTATATCCAGAGAGTTAAGACGGTGAAACTGTTATTTATGACAATCAATGAAGAGTAGAATCTTGGGTAATAATGAAGGCGTACTTGTCCATTAAGAGGTACTTTGCAACTTCGAGTGGGTAGGGATTTTTATTTACTGCACTGTCAGCCTCTTCAAAGTGAAAACAAGTAATATTGACTGCTTCTTATACTTTTCAGGAGTAGTCAAACTAATTCCAAGGTGAAATTTAATGAGTTTCTAATTTTTCAAGTTTTGGCAAGTAATTCATCTGGTCAGTGACTTCTAGCTATTTAGTTTTCATGATAGTAACACTTTTATGGATCCAAGAAGCTCCACTAATTTTCTAGGTTGGTTAAAATGCGTAGTGAACACAAAGAGGTCGACTTATCTTTGACCGACGCCAAAGCAGGTGAAGCAGGTTTTCAACCCCGTTTAAAAAAGATGAGGGCTCAAATCAATAGGTTACATCTCAAAGATAATGAATGTTTTCTATTGAAAATACCACTTCCCACTTACGGATCATCATTCATACTCTGTTTGTTACAACGTAAGGTTGTATGAGAAGGAAGTTTTGAAATCATAAACAGACCAAAATGATGGAAAGATCAGTATGAATAGTCTGAGTTCCAATCTTAAGTTTAATCAAATACACTTAGCCAAGCTTGATGGATAAAGCAATCTAGATTGTTGATGCGAAAAAACAAGCAATTAAATGAGTGAATTATTAATTCATATTTTTTAAATTAATGTTTAATCCATAATTCACCATTTTTAGTTACACCAGAAAATTACATTCCACCTGGATTCAAGCACGCAGATGATATCATTTTCAACTTTGGTGAAGATAATGTCAATGTGCGAATGGGTAACGTGAGAACAGTATGCCATTTGCTTTTGTTAAAAAGTGCTTTCACCTAGGTTCATCATGGGTTTGTGTTTATATCAAGTTAAACTTTCTTAGCATTAAGATGCACATACAAACAAATCGAAGGCTGCTACCGGGATCTATAAGATCTACTCAATCAACACAAGAAGACAAACCTGTTCATGACCTATTGGTGAGTTTTATAAACTTGATCAATATTTTTTATCAAGGCTTACACAGTGTTGGTACTGTTTACACGATAATGACACTCGGGCCGTTTTACCTTTTGTGATTTGTTTTGTTACCGGAAGAAATAATAGTTTCTAAGGCCTACCAAGCACTCATAGAGTGTGTATCATTATGTTATGTTCCAGGGAATCCCATGTCTAGTGGTATAAATAATAACTGTGTCATTGGCAAGGATGTAACTGATTGCACAAGTTGTAGTTAGTCTTATTTAGGTACAGGTGGTTGAAAAACCAATTCATCATGAAATTACCGTTGTAGTTGTCAGATAACAACATAAAATGAGATATAAGCAGTTTACAGCTGGTAAATCCTGGCGGTGTTGTACGCTTTGTACATCGAATACTGGATCACACTAATGTTACACCAGAGTTGCTTGTCTGTCATTGTGACACTGAGAAAAAGCCGAATTTGAACATCGTATGATATATTTATTTATGGCATAGCGAACTGCGTACAGCGAAGGTACATTCAATCAATGATATATTCTCCCATGACTAAGAAAAAACTATAAATTGGAAAAATAAAATGACAACACAAGAATAAATAAAGATTGTAAATGGATAACGTGATGGAAAAGTTAGACATTTGTTAACTGTTTTTGACAATAAACTTTTCAGGATTGAAATACTTTCGAGAAATACTGGAAATAAACAGAAAAAGTGATTGAAAACTGAAATTATTCAGAGGAAAATTGCTTCGGAAATTCTTCAGTTAATGCAGTCTTTAAAAAGTTAAGATATTTCTTTGCGCAAAAGTTAATTTTCTAAAATATCTTTATATGAAACAGCAAATGAGGTAGTGCATAACATTTTAGTTTAGTAGTGAACAAACAAACAAATAGAAATTGTTTAGTAACACATTATGAATTCAGACCCTGATGAACTTACTTCCCATCAGTTTATTTCTGAAGCCTATATATCTGTTCGGTAAAATCTTGAAAATGTGATATAAGTAAACTTGGATGTTATATTAATGTTGGCTTAAGCATGTAAAATTGGCATTATTAAATATGAAATTAGGTGCAAAAAGAACACAAGAGTTGAATTCCAAATCATTTAATTAAGTATATAAAGTTGTAGTAAACATTTCTCACATGCTGCCACTATTTTGGTAAAGTTTCTTCTCGAGAAATTATTTTTCAGATAATTTAAATTCATGAAAATAAAAGGATGGAAAAATATGAATTATCAGAAATTCTAAAACTGGAAAATGTTAAAATATGGATTACTCCATTCCATATTGTAAGAAATAAAGCAATTTGATTCGACTGGTTTTGATTTTGTTTGCCTTGACAGTTAAATTCAAAAGGTGAAGACAAATTGAACGAAGAAGATGAACTCAGTTTATCTCTTCGACAACAAACATTAGGATTCGATGAAGGTGGATACGAAGTCTATGAAGCTCGCTGCCCATGCGATGTAAACAAAGTAAGAAGATGATACTATAAGTTTCCAGTGGTTTATTTATGATGACATCTTTCTAGCTAAGGTTGGATGAGAGTGAATAGACTAAGGTTTTTCAGTGAATAAGCAGTTTTGGTTAGATTCTAGTAAAATAGTAGAGATTTAAATGTTATTGTTATTCACTTTTATACGAATTTCATATTGAAACGTCTGAACGATTTAAACAATTGCATTTGCATAGACAGTTTCAAGTAATATACAAGGAGAAAGTAAAATACGACTTCATTTCACATTATTTCACCTGATTTATTCAGGATATATTTGCCTTTGAATAGTTTCCAGAGTTGTTTCACATAATCGTCCTAATCCCTTCAAAACATTGGTGTTATCTTGCCAACTTGTCTAATCCTATTACATATACTTTATTGATTTGTTTTTATCAGTTTTACCCTCCTGTCTCAGTTATATACATTCGATGAATCATTCTGTATTTTACATAATCCACTTTGTTATCATTCTTACTTCAACTGTTATGTTATATAATATGTTATATTATCACTATTATTTTTACTATTCTATTGTAAATATATTTGTAATGAATGTTTACATACAATGTTTGTTGCTTCGTTTTGTGTAAACACACACACAAATTTCTCATGGATATTATTTTTATTGACTCGGTCATTATTGTTATTTTACAGTGTTTGGTTTTCAAATATTCATTTTTCCAAAATAGTAATTTATTTTTACTCCCCCCTGACGACTCACATCTCAGTTGCACTTTTCATACTCGAACTAAATTTCCTCATCCAATTTTTGTTCTATCTCATTTGTACAACTAGTATTATCGAAATCTCTTTCCGATGAGACCCTTTTCCAATCACTTCAGAGAAGTATGTAACTAATCTGTTATCTATTCAGATATCTGTTATCGATAAAGAAGCTCTGTCTCTTGGATTTGGCTTTTCTGTCCCACATATAAAAGTTCCCGAAATGACTATTGAAACTCAATCAGAATATCTTTATAATCAACTGAGTTCACCTGTTCCAACTTCTGAAAATCAAAGCTGGTTGAAAGCTTAATTTGTGGATATGGTGCATGATATCGGTAGCTCTGGTTACAAGCAGAAAAGCAGCCTGACTTCTCAGCATTTGAATCCATTGAAAGCGCAGTGGAATAGAAATAACACATCCATTCGGAAACCCGATAAAGGATCTAGGGTAGCTGTTATGAATATCCAGGATTATAAATACAAAATGTTATCCATTCTCAATGACAAAAGCAAATTCATGGAGAATCGTTCGATGGAATACATTAGAAAATTAGGAAGAAAAGTAACTGAAAACTTTGTTAATCTCCCTAACATGAATGTCATTAGCAAAAAAATAATTTCATTCCTTATAACCCGTAGGGTGTGAACACTTAAACTGCACAAAGCAAATATCCCATTACGTCAAATACCATCGATGTGTCGCTCCCCATTGCATAAATTGGTGAAATGGCTAGCGCAAATGCTAAGTACAGTTAGAAATCAGTTATGTAAGTTTGCATAAGAAGATACTTTTGAACTTATTGACCACATAAATGAAATTTATATCCAAAATAGGAAAACCTACTCTTCTGATTTAAACTATTTATTCGCCAACCAAAATTGATAATATTCTTTGTGCTTATATATCCTTGAATGTCCCTTCATTCGCCCACCCCTCCAAAATCTTTGATACAGCTAATACTACTATTCACCGATAAGGTTCACTTCACTTTCGAAGGTGAAGATTTACGACAACTTGATGACGTCGCCACGGGAAGTCCTTTAGGACCATTGTTAGCTGATGTCTACATGTCACATGTAGAACTTCCGGCTGAGGATTTATTCAATAAAGTCCCTCTGTACAGGAGATACGATGATGATTTTTCAGATAAACTTAATACCATACAAAGCCATATCAATTTATCATGTGAAGCAAAAATAACAATTGGCTTCATTTTCTTGACGTATTGTTAACTAGAAGGGAAGATAAGTAGGTAATAAGATCAGTGTATAGAAAACCCAGGTGAACCGAAGAGTATCTACATTTTCATATTTTCTGTCCAATACGGTTAAAACGAGGCTTCGTAAAATGCTTTCTCAAAAGGACCCAACGTATCTGCACAGGTACATTCAGAAAAGAAATCAAATTCTTAACAAAAACACTGTTGGAAACCCATATCCACTGAAGTTCATCGATCGTTATAAAAACGTATCATCGGTGCGAATTAATCAATATTCTGTCCCGAAGAAGGACGTCTACATCATGCTACCGTATAAGGGGGAATCAAACAATATGATCATAAAACATAGGCTTATCTCAGTTAGTTAAAAGACATACTATGTAGCCAAGCTCAATATTATAGAGAAAATGAAACACATGACTTAAAATAAACCTCATAACTTCATAAATGATTGCGTCTCATCCTGCTGTATATACCAAATTACACGTGTGTACGGTGATAAATACATTGGGAGGAGTAGTCGAACTATCAAGTCGAGAATGGTGGAGCATATCCCTAAATGCTTAGAAAGCAATTACATTCAAATAATTCAGTGAATACAGGGGACAGACAGATGTCATCCTAAATAGGTAAACGCATTATAGGAACAGGTTACATAATTGACCCCAGAACAGCATTTAGACCATTGTATAGGAGCCGTCAAGACAGCACACTTAAGTTCATTGAAGCCTCATATATACGAAAGTCACAAGCCTATTTATGTATTCAAAAACGATCTGTCTTTACATGAAACCTTCCTCGGTAATCTTCGTCTTATTTTAATGCCAATGAAGGTGTAAAAATGTATTATTCCTTCTCATTATCCTTATATTTTCCAAATCGTTTATTATCATAATTTATTTACTATGTTTTATATAAAATTCCTCGACAAGCAAATATGTGACCAGATTGTTCGAAATGTATTCCGCGAATACATCACATTTCTCCGATAACCTCCGTCTTCCTATTACATTATGCAATAACTGGAATAAGCCTGTCTGACCGATTTGTTAATTCACTCGTCTACACTATATTGATCGTAGTTCCATGTCACGATCTAAATGAACTGTACCAGAATTGAATATCAACTTGAAAACTTAGTGTCAGATTTATACTCCTGAAACAAAATATTTATTCTATTGTTTTCTCTGATATACAACGCCGCGATTATGCAAGTAGAATACACCTTAAACAATGAATTGCATCTAATTTAATCTATAAATTTCCCACTAGAGTATAACACTAAGAACTCAAAATTTAAGACATATAACATTGTAAATCCAATGGTGATTTGCATTCATTTAAGGTCATTCCATGAACGCCTTTTTCATAAATTGAGAAGTGAGAATGTTAGCTGATGACGGCACACCATAATGTTATGAATATCACAAAAGCTATTGGGTAAGAAATGTTTTTATCGGATATTTTTTTATTCAGCATAAACAAATAAGCCTATAAAATAATGTTAGTCTCATTTTCATGAATCCATAATGGTTGCTCATGTTTATCGAACCCCACTAATTTTCCTGCTAGAATTTGTAGACGGTGATTCAGTGAGTAAGCAGATAGTTAAGAAAGCTTTTTCTTTCACTTTGTCCTCTTTCGTTTACAGCCAGAGATACTAAAGTCCTAGTTGAAAGTTTCACTTAGATTCGTGATCTAGATGGGTAGACAAAAGTATCGGTAATATGATTTTGAAAATGTTAATCTGTTGAAATACTTCAGAAACGAAGAATTTATGGCCTACGCAATATCTTCTGTAGAAAAAAAACAAATAATTTAGTATTTAAATATCAATGAACAGTTTATGCGTTTTAACACATAAGTTTTGGGTTGTAGCTTTCTTCCGAACAACTTAATTCGAGGTTATTTATCTTTTTAAGAAACGTAGATTATTTCCTTTTGACATAATTATTACTCGACTATACCTTGGAAAAAGTAAATCAAGTAGTCTAAGGAGAATTCATGTATATTTTAGTCATCAGATTTATACAATCTCAGTAGTAAAAGGATCAACAAACAGAAATGGGCTTTAAAAGAATCAAAGCAAATAACTATTATTGTTATTTGATAAAACAATCAAACTAGGCCAATGGCATTACAAGATATTAAAAGTGGAGAATTAGTACTCACAGATATAAGATTGAGAAGTTAGTGGAGAATATAAAAAAGCCTCTTAGGTAGTGTGTTCCATCTATGTCACCTAAGGTTCCCTACATCCGGCTTCCGATATCTGATGAAACCCATTCACAAAGCCCCTATTATCCTATATGATTTGCACCAATACCTGCTAATCTGACTGTTTTAATTTATCAACTTCACATGATAGCATTTTTCATCAGTGTAGATTACTGGGAACGCTTCTCAGCCAACACAGATAAGTTACTTGTCATACAAATTATTACACCGACCCCTTTCATGTAGGTGGTAATGCAAATTTCTTGGTGCTGTACTACTTGCAGCATCTGTTTTTAGTGCACGTTAAAGAAGTTTGTCTCATATCGGTTTTGATCAGTCCACCACAGTTTTGAGATTACTAGGACTTCTTATAAAATGTTGGGAAATATCATAGTTTTACTGAAGGGAAAACGAACATTACGAACTTCTTTCATCATGAAAGATATTTTCAAACATACCGAAATTTGGTATGTTTTAATTAGGCACTATGAAATTTACAGATTGAAAACGGAAATCTGCATCTAGTTTCAGGAAGCTCTCCTACCCTCTCTCTCTCTGTTAACGTTATGCATAGAAATCCTGTGAATATTATTATATTTTAAGTGCAACCAGTATCGGTTCAGCTGTTTATAGACTGATATGCAGTTCTTTCCTATCAAAACTGCAAGGATTTTCTGACAGCTCTAGCAGGGAATACTGGGTACTAATGGGTATCACTTTCATAAGCTGGTTCAAGTTTTATCTTTGTCTATGAAGTGGAAGAAGTTTTTCACGCTATATTTTGCTAACTTGTCAGGTAAAGGTTGAAGTAATCGTAATATCCATTTAGCCACGGCATGGTAAAGCAAGCTGGTCATGTTTAGGAGATTGCGAAGAAGCACCTCAAGTTTGTGTGCTTTTAGTAGACCATATGCCCTCAGAATCGCGCTGTCTATAGGCTTCAAATTTTCAAATAAGGTTGGTGGTATGCATGGGTCATCTTTCACTTTATTTAGTGAGACGGTTAGGTCCTTTTCTCCTTTTTCGGTTGGGTCTTTCGTTGACCGTAGTTTCTGAAATTTGCTTTCGTCTTGCAATATTAAATCCATTTTCTGTACACAATCAATTCTATCCATAATTACGACTCCAGCTCCTTAGTCAGGCTTTGTGATGATGATGTTCTGATCCTCTCTGAGTCTTTTGGGAGCCTAACGATTTTCTCTACTGAATATATCTTGACTTATTTTTATTGTTGATAGCAGCAGTCCACTAGAATTGATTTAAATATTTCCAGCTTTGCACTAGGTGTAGCAACCAAATCGACTGTTAGTGTTAATAGATGCTCAAACTGTACGAATATATCGTTTGGTTAATTTGCTTGCGAATGTTGCAAAACTTGGTCACAAGGAATAGAACTCCATTTGCAATTTGCCTAGTGTACTACTGGGATAATTACGAGCGTACTCCTCTGGGTTTCTCGCAAATTTGCACTGGGGAAGTTGACTGGCTAAACTCTTCAGTAGTAATATTCATTTCTTAGCAGACTTGGATTGCGCAATTTGATTCATGTATTCAGAAAATTGCAACCTCGCTTAGTTAACTAATTCACTAGTTACCAGCCGGTCCCAAGCGTGGATCAAGAGGGAAGGTTGTGCATAGGGTTGGCAACCCTACCCCGCAACAACAATCCAATCGCTAAAGAAACTCCAAAACACAAAGTAAATATAAAAAATAAAAACAAACTTATTCCTCTCTGGAGTCGGTGAGACGAAACGACGCCGGTTGGTGGAAACCTTCGGGAAGCCAATTGGCTGATGTGTCTTCTATCGATGGAAGCAAAAGTAAGCATAGGGACAAAATGTCCACACAACGTTTGAAGCTGGTTGTCAAGGCTGCCAACATTGCAAAAGAGATTTGAGGATGTGGCATAGAAGTGTTGGGAATCTGCGAAAGCAGATGGAATGGGAGTGGACTCTCCAAACTATTAACTGGAGAGGATTCAACAATCTACTCCGATATTGTCACCCAGACGACAACCACGAGCACACTGAGCTTTCGAGTGACTATCATGATCTCCCTAAGAGCATGAAAGGCTTTCAAGTAATGGGAACCAATCTCCTCCAGGATCACAATCATGACAGCAAGATTCAAATCAAAAGGAAGGAAAGTCACAATCATACGGTGCTACGCTATACACCTACAAATAATGGAGATCAAGAGAAGGAGGAGGAATTCTACAGACAACTGCAATCAGTAATGGAAAAGACTCCACCCAAGGTGGCGATATCAAAATTCTAATGCATGATATGAATGCCAAAGTGGGAGCAGACGACACGGGAAGAGAAATAATCATGGGTCGAGAAGCAATCAGTGAAGTGAATGAGAATGGAGAACTCTTTGTAGACTTCTGTGCATTCAACAGCTGCTGCCTACACTTGATACTGATGATAAGATGGCCAGATAGAAAATGCAACAATGAACTCACTCTGGCTGTCGATGAACCAACCAAAAACCCGTCTCCCAACAAATATGCAGAAGAAAGTGGAGGCGGAATGGACATACACTGAGAAAACCATTCTGGGACATCACACGCCAGGCCAGATGCTCGAATGGACCCCAAATGGGAAACGACGAGTTAGGCGTCCGAGGGCGACATGGAGGAGATGGTATGGGAAGAAATGAAAGCTTATGGGCAGTCGTCAAGCCAGGTTAAAATGACTTCAGAGGAAAGAGTCCAATGGAGATGTATTACTGAAGCCTTATGTCCCACTAGGAACCCAAGGGATAAATAATAACAGTAATAATAATAATTCAGTAAACTGTAGTCTCAAATCTTCTGGTGTACCGTAGGGTGCATAGTTCCTTTGCGATATGTTTAATTCCAATTCGATTACAAATGGCTAAACTCATTTATATCAGGAGTTCCTTTAAGACATTCTAACTAACGTTCCCATTGCATTTTTCGCTAAAATTCATTTTCCATTACTTTGAATTTCTTTACACCAGAGTACTTCGCCGTAAACTGAGTCCTTATAAACAGGTGGAAGTGTGAGAAACAAACTCCAGAGGATTTTTGTGGAATACGTTATCATGAAATCCATTAACAAATTAGAAGATAGTCATCTAGCATAAAAGTTTCAAGTCCAAATAATTCCATTAGGAGTTGTAATAATTACCGAGGTGAAAGAATTATTGATATACAGAACACAGCAGTGACGGGTAGATTTTAAAATTAGATGTAATGCAGCATTTTTACTTGCAATCAGATAACTTAGAAAATACTCTTTAGGCATGATTATATTTTATGACAATAAATATATAGGCACCAGAATATATGACAAAGTAAATATTAAGGCCTTTTGTAAATGTACAATATACTGTAATTAGCCTAACAAAGATTAACTGCCATAACAAATTACAGAACCATGAATAAAGTGGTAAAAGCATACTACTCTGGAGTTTGGTCGAATATACCACAAAATGATGTAAACTTATGCAGACAAAATACAGATAAAGAACAGTAGAGTCAAGAGGACGAAGCAGTAATCAAGAATGATTGGCTGAGGAAACTTCCATTGCTTTTCATTATCTGTGTTCACACGTTGAACAAACAGTTGAACTAAATCCTAGTCACCAGTGTTTTGAGTTTTAAGCCATATCTGGTAACATCTGAGCGTATTGTGATCTTTTGGAGTCAACACGGAAAGTTGTAACTGCGAACTGAAGTTGTGTACCCCTTGTTCTACACTAAGACGCTACAAATTGACCACCCTCATTTCGACAGTCCTCTTCATCAATGGTATATTGATTAGTGTGGGAATCTGTGAGACGACGGTATATGTAAAACGTTTCTTAACCTCTTAGATTAGTGTTTCAAGATGACTTTACTTATTCTATTACTAGTTTGATGATTGACAAACAATAGTCCAACGATTCATGATGTTGTCAATGGATAAGACAGAAAGACAGAAAAACAAGATCTATATGGAGCCTGGAACTATTGCTTCACAGTTCCAGTTGCCATTCCTCATGTCAACACATCAAATGAGAGTGCACTAAGAGAGGAAATCAAGAGTTAAGGAAGAAAGCAATCAAAGGTGGTTGAAAGTCAACAAAAGAGGGTAAGAATCAATGAGAGAATACTGAAATTCAACGATTAATGTGGGGTTACATCTGCGGCACTGACATCAACTCTGACTAGTGCGAAGTATCAAGTTTCAATCAATAACAAACGATATATGTAGCAAGTGAGATGGCTCTCGCAACTCATTAACCAAATGAATAGTACTATGAATTTTGAAGTCATGAGTACTGAATCTCAGCTGAAAGACAATCGCTGATTGAGGTACAGGTACATCCACCCGGAAAGTCCGCAATACAGTCAAATGCAAATCCTGGATTTCGTTGTTAGCCAACAATAAGCGAAAAACATCAAAATGAAACTTGACTCAATATCTAGATATGTAAACATCAAAGAGTCCATATGCTAACATAAACGCAAGAGCTACGTTCAGTCAGACAATGCAGAAATACAAGTAAGAATGCATATTTCCTTGCCTTTCTTCAAAAATCACTTCAGTTAGTGACTTATACGTGCTTAATTGAACGAGATTAATCTTCGGATTGGATGTCCTTTTTCACTGCCTTGTGTTTCGTTATTTCTAATGGTCTTGAACAATTTGTATTAGAATTTCAAAAACCAGGATGACATAGAGTTTGATTCTTCGAAAAATCAACCCGTTTAGTGGAGTTTACAAACGTGAGCGCGTCGGAATGAGAATCATTTCTACAATGAGCGATATGACCACGTTTTTATGTTAATTACTATTGGAATAAGGACAAAAAACAGTTCCCAAGAAAGAAAGACAACGAGGAAATGAAAATGTTTGATGACCTTTAACTTAAAGCTACCCGATAACCTCGTTGACTATCTCCTACGCTAGCGTCTTGTTTTCAGATCAGTAAGGCTTTTAATGTTTCTTTTCTATTTGGAACATAAATGTATGGTTGCACTTCAAAATAATCGTTTGTATTTGGTGATTTCACTCAAAGGAACATACCACAAAATCCTTATTTTGTGTAAAATCTCTGACTAATCTGAAAGATGTGGTTTATTGTTAATGCTTAATTTTCCTATGTTTTGATTGTTTAAGGATGATGGCATAATGGTTTTATGTGATGGATGCGGCAAGTGGCAACATGCGGTTTGCTTTCGAATTCTGGAGGAACGTGATGCACCCACTTCACATATTTGTGAGATCTGCGCAAATTCAAAGGTATTATGTGCACTATATTGTAGATGATCAATACTTTTTTTATTTCCCTATCAGTTTTGAAGAAAATAGTCGGTAACCATTTTCTAGATTTTGAAGTTCCTCCTACGTTTTCCCAAAGTTCAACTTCGTAATGATACTAAAGAGCACAAAAACTACCTACTCAATTTCGCTGGAACAATAACTTACATCATTTCTTGCAGTAGGAGTATCTGAATTTCCCTTGAAATCTGCAAGAAAACTGAACAGTAAAATATTTTACTTTAAATAAGCGTTTGGTCTCTTCAGAACACCTGCTAAGACAGTAATATCGACTTCTTCAAGAGACTTGAATGTAGTTAATGCACAAATAAATAATTCATTTTTCAGATTTTTCAAACCTCTGCTACTTCAATGGGGATACCTGGTGATTACACTGAGGTCACACTGGTAGAAGCATGGCAAACGTTGAGAACTATCAAGCAGAAGTACCAATCTGGAAAGTGATTTAATTTTCGTCTTGTGACCTGCTTGGCAGCTAGCAGTGAGATCCAGGACGCGCATTTCTTCCCAATTGAGTCTAGTCAGCTGCATGCACTTGCAGCCCAGTGAGTGATATTTTCCCCACTGGTAGTTAGTAAGACTGAATTAGTTTCCACCTAAAATAGATTATTAATTTCTGGTATACACTCATGTGATGAGAAGGATATACTTGTCAACGTTACAAAGTTCAAAGTTTTGACCACAAAATCTGTAAATATTGCTCAAACAGATCAACCAAGTGTTCTACATACTTAAAACTCCGGGAACAATCAAAATACCAACATGGACAAGTACATGTGCCTGTGGATTGATGCTATTTCCTATATCTTACTGTGTCCTCCCTATCATTCATTCTTCTATGCTTGTTGATAAAATGAAGTTCATATTTCATGAGTCCGTATGCAACAGATAATCAGTACATCAATAATCTGTGTACGAAGTTTACAGTTCAGTTCACTTCGTTTTACTATAGTTTCCAAAACTCATTTACAAACAGGATATCTTGTGTTTATTTATTATTGAGTACAATATGAAACTGATTTTCGTATCAATGAAAGATATTTCAGCAGTACAGAAAGTGTCTTGATAGAATATGATGGGAAAGCAGTTGTCAAAAAACGTCCAATGCATGCACTTCCTTTGAAATGTGTTTATCTCATATAATCAGCATAGTAAAAGTGCTATTTATTTGATAGTTTTAATGTAGGGGAAGATTTCTTGAAACTTTTAGCCTGAACTTCTTCAAACTGGAGGCATCACAGATGAGACTATTCAGAAACTGACTGTTGAAGCTAGAAAGGTATGTCCATAAACTAACAAACCTGTTATTTATGTTTGTTTCAATGTAACACACATGAAGATCAGTCTTTTATGTGAATAAACGTAACGTATTCTCCAATATATTGAAAAATATGAAAGTTTAGCACAGTGAGATTTTAGTTATAATAACAGAAGAGTAATTTCGTTGAACTTCTATGTATTTAAAACATGAGTTCTGTTGTCCCAAGTGAGTATATACACAGGAACTCTAGTTTTCATAAGTCATATTATTGTTACTCACCTTGCACAGGTACAAACTCTGCTAGTCTTGTAGAAGTACTTTGCACCTCGACTGAACAGAGTACATGTTATACTTATTGACACTGATTAAGTGTGATATGATTAGTCTGTAGGTTGTCATACTGAAATGACGTCATTTGCATACTCATGACTAAAACGTCTTTCATCTAGTTGCAGATGAACACAGACATGGTGCTAATCCTTCAGATCTGTCTCATGAATGCCATCGCTAACAAAGTTACAGAGGAATAACAAGATGTGATGGACCTGTATACACCCACTTTTGCCTTGAAACAGTAGATGGGGGTGCTTATATGCTGCCGCTATACCTCAAGTCCTTTTGTACACGGTCTTCAACATTTTAACGACCACCTCAGAAACCCATTTTAACAAGAAATGAGATAGCATATTTATGTTCAGCACGTCGGAGGTAGCCGTAATATGAAGGAGTGAGATGCTAACTGACCTGGTTTTCGTGTGGCGGTGCTTGAGCACCTAGTAGAATACTAACACGTGATTTATGCACTCATGACCTAAACAAAACTCAACCTGCTCGTTATGTTTCAGCCCTTCACTTGTTTTGCAGAACCTGCAAAGTATAGTAGTAGGCAATATTTTAGACGCTAGTGAGTGCGAACTGACATTCTGATGATTTTCTGATATTACGTAAATGGTATTAAAGATGAATGGAAAAATGGCATTATTCCTTAGCTATAGAATACTCTTAGTATGTAACACATTTCCAACCAGAGTGGTCAGTTTCCTGACTAATGTCTCATCTCCATCCTGGAAAAGAGCAGGTAGTAAATTTTCCAGGTTGGGTGGGTGATGTTGCATCATTACTTCGAATTTCATCGGGACCTACAATTCCTTAGGTGGTTCGTTGTTAACTGAACACGGAGAGGAACCACTAACATGGATGTAACTGTAACAGTAGGCCATCTAAATTGCTGAGTGCTTCACCCATAGATCAAGGCAACTATGAAGGCTTTGGCTAGCATATAAATGGCTTCATAGACGATCTCACCGACACCACACTTCACGCTGTAGATGGCTTGGATGGGGTGAAAAAGTTTCCAACTGTTGACATAAGCCGCTGCTACTGGTACCTTAATTCTGCTATGACTAACAAGCTTCGCAGTTCTTAAAGGACTCCAGTATGTTTTGTCAAACTGAGGAATGCCATTGCACCCTCCAGACTAGACTGGCGAGGGTCACGAAGGTGCAGGGCGCTCACAGGGATCCAGAGTTTATGATACAATGTTTTTCAAAGCCACAAGAAGCTTCTCTCGCCATTTTTATGGCATCTAGTAAATGCAGTCGACGTCCACTTGTACTTTCTGGATGTTCGATAGTTAGCTTTGAATTCAGCTCAGTTCAGTATTTAGTCGCAACAGTAGAAGTAACCAATTTGCTTACTTAAACTCCTTTAGGACGATGATGACCCCTGAAACAAAAGATCTACTGGCATATAGTATTTCGTGATCAGAGCGCAAATAAGTGTTGCAAATGTCTTGAAAAGGCCTACACAGTCGATAGCTAAATTCGCTGTGATCCATTTGAGTTCAAACTTGAGTGGTAGGAGGGAATGCCAGGTAGCATTACGGTGATAGCTGCGCCGAAATCTGATGCTGGCTACAGGTAGGTCATGGTGTGCAGATAACTCCGGAAGATGATCTCCATTATCTGATCTGGACACCCAACCTGTGCATTCTATTCCCAAAAATGCACTACGATATCTGTTCAACGCAGTTGGTAGAGGATTCTCCTTAAGTGCACTCCTGCTGCAAGCCGTTGGACTACAGACACAGATGACGAAAAAACATCGTTTACCTTACCAGTTACCTCTCACTCTAGCCGAATCTTGTGACCCCATAGCTCACAGATAACTGTTAACAGGCATTAATACAACTAGTAAAGTTCTGGCTCTATCACTTTGCGACACATCAACTGTCGGTGTCATCGCATAAGCGTATGCTATGTCAAATTGCCCAGCTGAGAGATGAAGACGTTATTCAGAGGACTTTGTCACAGTCTTTTATGTTGGTCTTTGAGGTGCAGCAAACATGAATGACGAGTTTAAGGGGTCTCATCCAATACTATTGCTTGTTCGATCTAAATCGAGAATCAAATACTGAATATAACCAATTTGAAAGACACATGTGACTTTAGATTAGTTAGATAAAACATTGGACGAATGATGACAACTTCAATCAGTGACTAAAAGCTGAGCCAAGCATGAACACACAAGGACAAATCTGAGGATGACGACAGAACAATTTAGGTCATGTGCTAAAATAACAGTGATGAAGTTGCTATAAAATGAACAACTGATTAACAGTTTCATCACACATTTCAGTTAGTTGTTCACAATGGTTGTCCAATGATTTTTATGAGAGCCGCAATGGTGCCCAGGTATGCAGATTGAAACTGGTGTGCGCACAAAGTAGGCATAAATTTGAGGTATTCAATAGTGCAGTTTTCTTGTTTATAAAGCAAGTATAGTGGATAACTAGCTGTATAGTAAATACGGAATTGACTGTAATGTACAAATTAAGTTACTGATTGACTTACTTTGGCATGCAGCAAACAACTAGAGAGAGAGATTGCAGTAAACATCTAATGCATTTAACATTGTGAAATACACGTAATCTGGTTGAAACTAACTGGTTAAAAACACGTTTCAGACGAAAAAACTTATGTGATAATTTGTTTTTCAAGACCGGAAGCTGACTAAGTTATGCATCCAACATAAAATCTTAAGTAAGTTTCATAATCAAAAGTAAATGGGTTCTTGGCGAATAGTGGATGTACTACAGCGAGGCTCTTTACTGGTTGTTCACCAGATACATTTCGCTGTTCAAATTATGAATTCCCCTACACAAGGCACTATGCATAAAGTTAGTCTACAGAGAAATTTTGAGAGAACTTAACTTAGACATTAAAAACTCCATGTTATCTCAGAGGTTTACAGAAATATTCAGTTGAAACCTGAATGATTTTAGAAGTGTACACAAATGAGCTGATGAGGAGTTTGTGGGATAAAACACTCATGGGATACATAAGTTTAGTGTATTTGGATTGATTTCTTCTTTCATTTCATGAACATTGATGGTTTGGTTTACAGACACTAAAGGTACTTTTCTTCGGATATTTCCAGACAATTTGTCTCTTCAGACGCGCATTAGCCCTGTGTCTCAATGAGATTCAGTTTCAACTTCTTTCATAGCTAAAAGTCTTGGAGTGGAGTACGCGGTCGCTCGTGGGATTTTCAACCGTTTGATGAAAGAGCAAGTCATAAAAGGAGCAGGAACAAGAAGGTGAGTAATTTCCTCCGTGTTTGGCTTGGTTAAAAACAAACCGTTAATTTCTTTTCACAGCTTCCAGTAAATTGAGTTACCACAGTGTGAAGTGTACAAGTGTAAAGCAAAATGTCAGGTAATTTTCCAGAAAATCAGCGTGAAAACAAATATATGAATTTGTGTATGAATCGCAACGACTTGTGATGCTGTTTGCCTTTTCACTTCGTACTTAAATGAAGATTGGTGTGTATGGACAGGTTGTGTATTAAAATTATGCCGGTAAAACACACGAACGCGTAGGTTTGAAATTCGACAATAAAGTCAGTTATAATGTCAAATACCATGTACATGTAATTGACCTAGACGGTAAAATTCACTAGGCCTTCGGCATATTGTTTTATTCTATTTTAGAGGTGAAAAACTTGTTGAAAAGGAATACTTGGAAAGCATCGTATTGCCACGCTTTTTCAGTCGTATCAGTCTGAATGAAAAACCATTGGAAACTGCGGTAAGAAATAGTCGATAAAGCGGACATTTAGTTATTACTTTTGTCATGGAAAATCAATGAAATTGAGAGTATTCAATAATGTAATAACTGATATCACAAAATTCCAGCGTTTAATTCAGTCTTTGCATAAAGTTTGTCACTTATTAAATGCTTTCAATTATTTGCCAATTTGATTTCTTTTGAGAAATATACAATCACTAGTTGCCAATTGTTCACGGAAGACCGTCTTCATATTTTCAGGTGTCACCTCAACTGTCAACCCATCAACAATCAGCCACAATTCGACATACACCTGGAGTAAGTATTCTTTTCCTTGTGAGTAATTTGCTTCATGTTGATAGATATTTGGCGGCTTTAAGTGAACAGTCTACGATATGATTTGTAGTTTCAAAAGCTTTTGCAAATATCAAATAAAATGGTTACATCTAAATTGAAGTGCTTGGTATACTGTTAGCTGGATATATTTTAAGCGTAAAATTGCGTCGACAGATAGTGATTGTTTTCAATCTATCTACAGCCATATGATATTCACTTTTGACTGACTTGCAAGGCTACCTTAACAATCTCACCTAACAAATTTATCATGTACTCCGTGTTATTATTATGATAAAAACGAATAAATAAATGAAATAACCAACTAGGTATCATTATATCAAGTGACTTTAAAGGTCATACTAACACAATGACTGAAACAGACAATTAGATTTCTGTTTCCATTCGAAATGAAGATTTTTATAAAATAAAGAAGTCCAGTCGGTTACTTCAGTTTTGTTCGAGTGACCTTGAAATCCACTCATTATTTCAGCTGAAAACAATTTCTCTTTGAAACTCACGTAGATTAGATATTAAATTTGACAATGTAGTCAAACTGGATCAATGTAGGTAACCATTTTTGGATGTCACACATACACTGGTACCAGAAATACATCTTAATCAAGATATTAAAGCTTTCTACAACACCACTTCTACCATGAAAGGTATTCTGTGTTACAAAGCTACACACGTTTTTAGATCAAGCATTTCTCTGGAATGTCACGAAAAATCTTTATCACACTTTAAAAACTCTGCATCACCCATCACTTTTTACTCAACATGGAGGAATTGCAAACTTGTATTTAGTACTGATAAGCACTTAGGGATTGGAATACTTAGTCTTGTTTCACAGGAGCCGAAAATTGGTAATTCAAAATGCTTACTTCGGTACCAGCAGATGTGACACCCAAGGTCTTTGGACGGACTAGACAGAGGGTCTTCCGGATAAATTTAGTTCATAATCTTCATTTGAGAAAACTGCATGCAATCAATTACTTCAGTGTGACCTGCTTTTTTCTGACGGGTATTTATCCAAGCTAAATCATCTGACATGTTATCACGGTCGCTCCTGGAATATATTTCACAATGAAATTATTGAATGCTTGTGACAAGCGGCAGTGTTCAAGAACCCGCTTTCCTTATACCTGAGATTAGTAATAAGAAACTGCTATAATACACAACACCTTTAGGGACAAACCGATATTGTAATCCACTGATACTCGATCTGGGCATTAGTTGAGACATCAACGCCCACTAGAGTACAGACACAAACAGTTAATAAGTCCTGAAAGTAAATCTCAAATTCTAGTCTTGGTCACTACCACTAAACATATTTGACTTCTTTTCGACTAAGACATTATTTAAGTGAACTTTATGTACCAGCCAAATGACAGATACTTTATTCATACTATTTTTTTACACTACCAAGAATCTTTGTCTTATCTTGCATTGCGTGAAAACGACAGAAATCTCAAAACGTAGGAGGAATTTTTACTTGTTGTAATATCTGTTATGTCTTTTTAGAAACGCACGCAGGATAGTATTTCCAAATCGAGTGCGGAGAAGGAGTTTGAAGAAGTAAGTCAGTCATCGATGACGTTCTCAAAACACCAAGTCTTTGTCTTTTTCGAGTACGCTAAAAAAGTGAAGGAGATGACAATTTCCACATCATGATAAGACACTTATCTGAACACTTCAGCTTTGTCAATGGAGTGACCAAGTGATACTCGAATATAATTAACTAAGTAATGATACTGAAGTCGAAACTACTCGAACTGCGCACGAATAACGACTGCTCGCCCCCTATCCAGTACTCATACTTCACTGAATCGCGAAGTCTTAGGAGACAAAGCCTGGTATGTGACTATGAGAAGTAGATTTACATAAATGAATCATATGTATATAATATGCATTATATACGTTAATAAAAAGACCAAACAACCTTAGTCTTATTGTTCAGCTGAAAACCAGTCCACCCACTAAGGTCCTTCTGACCACACAGCAGCATAGATCAGAAACTTCTCACTCAATGCCCATCGACTTAAAATGGTGATTATGTTTCTGTGCACTTGCTAAAACCTAAGTTGAGGAAATCTCACGTGTCTAATTATCTTTCTCTCAATAAGGTTGGAATAATCAAAACCTCTTATTATGACCATACATTATAATTAATATAGTTCTTCAATCAAATCTGATACAACTCGGAAAGATCAGTACAACGAGAATGATTATCCAAAGTCTCGGACAACACGAAATTTTAAGCAGCCATTTGACCAACAGAGGTTATCAAAACCCAGTGGATTCACATTCCTGTTTCCACCAAATAAACAGTCTCATTTGGCCTGTTGTTGCCAATTTTTGTAATCAGTTGAGGTAAAATGTTTGATTGCACGATCATTTGCAACTCCACTAAATTTTGTATTAGTTCAGAAAAACTACCGTCACAGTACTGAAAGTGATGTACACTTCTGATGTCAAGCGTCTACATTTATTAAAACCTGTTAATAACATGAAACTTTGTATACTGTCCTAGTCGATTAGTTCCATACTGTGCAGTATTACTGCAAACAAACGAAATTGTAGTAATTCATATGGCAAAAAGGTTGGATTTTATTCTCTGTTTCATTTTCAGTTGATCAACGCAAGTCAAGACTCAACGGTATCACCAATATCACATAAAATAAGAAAAATGCATTTGGCAAATACACCTATTGGCGTACTTCCCCAGTGAACATCTGTTTTCTCAAGTTGTTTTGCTTTCAAACTGAAATCATACTAGCATGTTGTCTCATTTTTAAGATTGTGAAGTTTACATAATGATTTTACAGTTTAATAAAGATTGCACAATGCGCAAACAAGCTTCTCAATTCGATATATTTGCATAGATAAGCCAGACCAACAGGGAGTCCATGGTAGTTATTATGAGAGTACTGCAATCTTGTAATAACTGACAATAATTGGAGTGCCAACAAAGTATATTATTCTTTTATGATTCCGCCTCTTCACCTCATATAAGAGGATTATGTATTGTGTATCATATGAAGATGCAGCAACCAGGTGTTGTCAGGCGTGTTCAATCTGACTACTCCTGTTCAATTTTTTACAGGATGAAATGATGCAAGTGCTTAGTAAGCTTACAATTTCTGGGAACTGATTCCCAACACAAAAGTCTCATCAAAGTGAAATGCAAACCTGATCGAGCTTAGTTCGTTCACGGCCGACAACTTGAAAAATCTGTAGGTTCTGTAAGTTTTGCACGTGTGAGACGTGCAACACTTCACAGCCAGTCAGCACTGACCGTTACAACAGCATAACAACAAGGTGGTTGAGTATCTCTCACAATACGTTGTAGAATGGACAGAGATGGCGAGAAGCTAAAGGCAACTTGATGCATTATGTAGCTTCAAACCAAATGAGTAGTGATGAAACTAGATGAAGGATTTAAAGCAAAGAAGATTTATCTGAATATCAGGCGATGGATTTGAACCAATAGTAGGCTGTGCAGTATTGGTCATTTTGAGCTGGTGCCTGAAATGAACTTGGCTATGATAAGATTGCGTTTAGAAGAAACTAAGAATGACTTAAACCAAGCTGAATCAATTAATTTAGTCACTGAACATCGGTGCGACCTGCGTTGGTGTTTTCGACAGAGTCCTTCAGACACTAATACAAAAACGGTGTTTTTAACACATAATGGTTGTTTGATAACTTTAATGGAAAAAACTACTCTATCTACTGTTCGAAACAATATTCGGTAGTAACTGCCAAGTAGTTGACAATTCAACCAAGAACCAGTGAATACAAGCTTCTTAACCATGCGAAAAAGTTGAGCAGTTATCTTAATATGACCACCATAGACAATAAATTGTGTCTGAGACGTAATCCAGTAAATAGCACTGTTTCACCCTGTAATACGTCTCCTAATCGTCTGTCTCTACGAAGACCCATTCAGTCTATTCTTACGCCACCTCTACTCGTCATCGTAATTATAACCAGCTGGAATCAGACTCATTTCATCACTCATTTCAGATGTGGTTACAGAGTTCCATTACCTTCATATGCCTCTGGGTCTAGGTTACCGCTGTTACTATAGCGGACTGAAGATTACCCCCTTCCCCGCCTCGTGTCGATGAGAATATCTGCCACACATGCTCCTTTTCGGACGCTCATTTGGACAGTGATTAAGAGTTAAGACGATCTCGAGTATGTCTGCGCCTGAATAAACATGGGAAAACTACGGCAGTAAGACGATTGCTTATGTGGCTCGACGATGGGAATACTAAGGTTGCTTCCTGCAAGAAACTAACTAGACAGTTGTCAGGATAGAATGACATCACTCATCCTGAAGAAGTTTGGTTCTATTTACGGTCAGATGTAAGAGCAGAGATGAACTGCATGATCAACTCAAACAGGTTCAAAACAGCCAGTGGGTATCAACAGCTTCTTCTGAAGTGGCAGATGCATGCAAACGCATTTCGAATAAGGTGATGAGCGAAAGTAACTCAAATATAGACTGATAGGAGATTACGCATTGACTGCGAGCAGTGGTGGTCAGTGAAGGCTGAAAATATGGTAAAAGGCGATAGTGATATGAGATTGTAGACTTTCATTTACACTCATGAAGTAAAGTGGAGCTTCGTTGGAGAAGGATGGGTCTGTGATTAACTCGCAGGAAAGATGACTAGGGTGACAGACAGAACACTAAAAGGAACGGTCCAGCTGGCATCCAACAACTATTCCATCTGACACTCTCCAGTTGGATCCCGAATGAATACTAGCATGCCACCTCTAACACTTCAAAAAGTGGGAAAAGATGCAAGCGAGTTGAAACCAAGAGCGAGAGTGTCGAGCCGGCTAGAAATAGAAGTATTTATTGACAGTAACCGAAGATTATTGGTATCGTTAATTGAACTGTTAACTGGAGTGTTGGAGTCAGGTGCAACCTATGTCGACTAGTCGCAATCGCCGATTGTCTATGTCTTCAATGAGGGTTAGAAGTTTTCCCGTCTTAACAACTAAGATACCTGATAATAGTAATAATAACAATATTTATTCCTGAATATACAGGCACACACCACTTTTACAGGCATGAATAAGTTTATATACAAGTTACATTCATCTTCATGGTAGGTAATCTCAATCCCTACCAGTTGTCACTATAAGGTATAAGTGCTGCATGTTTCGTACGATGGAACATCCCAACAGAATAAATATGCAGAAAATTTATGAGTTGGACAAGTGGAAGTTTTGTCTTCGCATCAAAAAACACCAGGCTTGTGTCTCGACACTACATATATCACCTGGAGAAAAATGTAGCCTAAGGCTAATACTTTCACTGTAACAGTTTGTACCTTTTGCTTGAAATAATGATGAAAAGTTTATGAAGGAATGTATGCACAAATTGTTTACATATTGTACTTCATTGATGATTCCAGAACTGTATAATTCATGCATGTTAATACCATTTCAAGACAAAGATTCATAATCTCGATGAATATTACGACCGAGAGACAAATATCTTCACTTTTCCAACTCCGGCATCCAGAAGCAATAAACTTGTTTGAATGCGCCAAGTAGACTTTCATGACATCTTGTCCGCCGCTTTCACTGCTCGTGACACCCTTGCGGTCGGTAAATGTTGGTATCCCTCATGTTATGAGGATAATACTTATTATCATCTAAACTTTAACACTGTATGCGATGAAAAGTAATATTTCATTGTTCGTTTCATAACTAGCACGATCTTCTACTGTTTTTAATAGAGTTTAAGGTCATTCCATCGGTACCATTCAGCACTTGTAAAGTCTAGTAGATATTTTGAGATATAACAATGTGATGACGTCTGTAAACTGGCTTCTCTCATGTTAAGTTACTAATGTGAGAATAAAACTATTTATTTATTTATCAACTTTCTTGATCACTTACAACGAGTAAATCCTAGATTTAGATATTTATGAAGTTGTAGTCCAGTGAACATTTTTTATTTCTGCTTGTTGCAGTTAGGTATTGTTAGTGCAATAAAGCTGATGAACAAACTGTCTAAAATTCTAGGTTCTATGATCCCTGAACGTTAAACTGGAGCTCAAGAACAGCAAATCCGAGGAAAGTAGACAGGCCTGAGATCTATCCTTTTGTAGTGCACCTTCCTGGCACCAAAGTATAACTAGGGCTAAAATAAATAGTTTAAATTAAATTAACTAAATAAATCTCTAGCTTGCCTCCGAATGCTCAGGGTGTTTTAAGTTTTGTTTTAACGAGCATGCATCCGAGCAGGCTTGGACGCCATTTTTGCGCTCCATTGTGCTGATCACCACTCACGTACTCCGAGTCCCTAGTTCAGCCTTACAAGCCAGATAAGTTGATTAAACTTTTCCCCAACTCATTACTGTCACATTTACTTTAATTAAGTATATAGCTCTTTCGAATACATTGCGTATCAGTTCTTTTGATTTGTGTTTTGTTATCAGTACTTACACGTTAGGTAAAGTACTGGTTAAGCAGGTACTAGAGCACATCAAATTAAGTAGGGTTGATCAAACGTTACGGAATTGTAACACGCATCCCTACACGTTAATGTATCGACCGGATGTTCACACTTCACCGGGCTGTGAAACACGACGCCTGATACTGGCTGTTTTTCTTGACCCGAATGCGGTATACGACTCCGTCAATCGATGGCAGTGTCTCTAACTGAAGCAGGCACCGAGAAGATGCATCACTTTGTTCAAGGTTCTGTATTCGAACACTAGTGGGTGTAATAACACTTATGAGAAGATATCGGTTGAACTGTGTGCGTCAAGTGGTATCTGACAGGTATATTCACCCCCGGTTCGTATTCAATTCCATCATACAGGCTATTATGGTTGTCTCCCTCTTGTCCTCTAACTTCACAGAAAAATCTTTGATTGATCTAGAATACGTAGTTGGTCTAGTCCTGTTATGTACAGACATCAATAAGCTGCAGGTTATTCCGGACACATTAAGTGACAATTGGAGAATGTTTGTAATGCATTTCTTGCCACCCAAATGCGCTGTTGCTTCACGGACTGGTCTTTATCGGTGCCCCAGTTCACAGTAGATAGTGAAGTGGCTGAGTGTGCTGAACACTTCATCTACCTGGGAGGTCAGAGCAGCCATAGTGGGTCACTTGACGACGAAATCTCTGAAGATACAAAAAGATCGCTTAACTCCTGCAATTTACGCTATTTATTGTACCATCATGATATTCAATTGTCTGTCAAGGACTGAATGTGTTGCTTTGCAACTAGTTATGTTCGACTGCATGGTTGTGAATCGTGGCCATTAAATGCACAGGATGTGGAAAACCTTCAAGTTTTTGACCACCATTAGTTTCGCAGCATAGGTGTTAAGTTAGAAGTCGGATGTAGACTTTTAGGTTGGAAAGGAAAGTCAATCGATGAAGTTGTTAACCTTTATTAGCTAAGGTGGATGGGATATGTGTCATGAATCCATAGTCACCATCTGCCTCATTGCAAAACGTTGGCTGAAGTAGGCTGAGGTCGGAAAAAGGTTTGAGGTGGCCAGACAAAGACATAAACATCAGCCGATGAAATCTTTGAATGTTAGACTGAGTCCTGTAGGTAAATGTAGACTTCCCGGCTGAGGTCTGCTTGTTCGAATGCTCCAAGTAGACTTCCGTGACATCTTGTCTGCCGTTTTCGCTGGTCATGACAGCCTTGCAGTTGGTAAGTGTTGGACTTTGTTGGTCAC